CCGTGTCGTATTCACGTGGATTGGTGTTAAAATAAATTTTCTATTAAAATCTAGTTAGGCAAAGTTTTACTCATTGGTTTTGGAAGCCTTCTAAATTCGAATAGTATTTGTGGTTTGGAATTAAACTGAGTTGGACAGAGTAATAAAATAATTGTTTGATAAAAAGGAATATGAATTGATTTCAGGTAGTAGGAATATTCCAGATAATTTAACTAGTTGGATTATTAAATTAACTAATTAATTTAACTAGTGAATAATTCTGTCGCAATAACTCCATTAATTTTATCCTATCTCTACGCATTATTAATGTGCTAGAATTGATTGACTAAATTAATTTTCTCATTCATTGACAAATGGACATAATAATTTTTTTTCAACATTAATTAATAAATTGGCCAGATTAATTAATTAGAACATTCAACAATTACTAGCAACTTAACATTTCAATTAATTAAATTTAATACTCCAACATAATTATTTTTCCTACATACCTACTACCCTAATTTCAATTCACATTCCTAATATGTTTAAAAAGACATAGTAATAATAAAAAGTGCACAAATTGAATAACAAAACATGTTTATAATATTAATTAAAAAAAAACTTACAACTTCCAGAAAAGCGGAATTGAAACAGTACTGGAACTGAAACTCCCAAAATAAACTAAAACTACAATTTTATAATGATTCTCGCTGCTATGGAGAGGAAAAAACGAAGAGAGGATGATGATGAAGAAGGCTCATCGACGCTGCCTTTTATAGGCCTAGGAATCTCCGGGGCGGGGAGTGGGGCGGCCGCCCGGAAGGTCGCCCTAGGAGGAATATCCGAATATTCCGCCCCAAGTTGCTGCCAGTTGCAATTAGCTGCCGTTTGGATTCCGGGGCTGGGTCCGGGGCGGTCGCCTAGTAGGTCGCCCCGCAGTCGATAAAAATATTCCTGCAAAACGTGTCATTTTCTTGCCTTATCTTGCAATTGAATCCCGGGGCTGGGTCCGGGGCGGTCGCCCAGAATGTCGCCCGGCCCAACCTTGGTTTTTGGGCTTCGAATTTCTGTGGCAAGTTCCATATTTTGTGCTGAACATTTTTCTCTTCTGGAGCTATGGACGAAATTGAACTTAAATGTCTCTAATATTTTATTCTCTTTCTAGTTTTTACTCTGTTTGAACAAGTTTCTGTTTGAAAATTCCAAATTTGTTTTGAACACCCTTTTTTATAAACAAAATGACAACTTTGAGAAATTTAGAAAAGAAAATGAATATTTTTACCTTAATTAACTTTATTTACATACAAAAACGTTTAAATATAAGAAAAATAATAAGTACAAAATGTACTTATCAAATTCCTCACACTTAAACGTTGCTTGCCCTCAAGCAACAACCTGAATAACTAAAAGAACAAGGACAACTTAACACATTCACGAAAAATATTTACACAATCTATTTGTAGGAACAAGATATTGGACAGTCATCAACTTAATTTTCTAAAAAGAAGTTTAACCGATATTGTTAGGAAATAAATCTTTTGTCAAACTCATATTTTTATACAAATTTAATCAAATTTGGTTTGCATGATCAAAATTTAGGAATATTGGTGTTATCAAAATCATGTTCTCTAAATTTTAAATAACAATTTATTTAGTTACTTGAATATTTTACAGGGTCAAAGAATCTTTAATGATTGAATTAGAAAATTGTTTCTTGAAAATGTTTCTCCTTTTTTTTTAAACATCACCTTGTCATGTTGACACGAGTATAAACTTGGATCCTCATCTCATGACATAGAACCACAAGCTTTTTGGATTTTTATTCACTCAAAAACCTCATCACACGACATAGAACCGCATGCTTTTTGGCACTTACCCAAAATAAGTCTCATCATCTGATATCGAACCAAATGCTTTTTGAACTTAAACTCACTCCAGAACTCGTTCTCACCAAGGTGTGTTTGAAAAAAAAGTTTTGAGAAAGAATTTTTAAAGAAACAATAAGTGCTCATATTTTGAAAAATAGCGGAGTAGTATCTTAAGAGATTTCTAATAAAACAATTAAAAATTATTTGACCTTACGAAATATTTTTGTACAGAATAAATTTTTACTGAAAAATTAGAGAGCATGATTTTAAAACAATTGTTAGACCAAAATTTGTCAATTTGTACTAAAAATTTTCAAATATTTGCACAAAAATTTAAGTTTGACAAAAAAATTTTTAAGTATCCTTATTTTAGGGTAAAAAAATTCCTTTTTGAAAATTAAAATTGATGACTATATATATAATTTTCCTACAAATATAGAGATAAATTATATTCCTAAAAAGTGATTCAACCATAACTCTCTCCTCCTCACACTTTAGACGGAACCGCGCCCTCGCAGGTTTTAAAGTGATCAGAAATTAGAGTTATGGTGGAAGAACGTGCATGCAAATACTAAGTTGTCCTCACACTTAAAGATAAACAATATGCTGATGTAAATAAAAGTAATTAAAAATAAAAAAGGTTTACCAAAGGTGTGTTCAAAACAAACTGAAGTTCAAACCATTCCTGAATCAAACAAACAAAACAGAAGAAACATATTAGTGCAGGGGATAAGCTCACTGCCCACGTCCTCCTCCTTGCCCGCGACCGCGCCCTCTCTGGCGAGTGGTGCTAGGGACTCCTTGCTGTGCCTCCACGTAGTCCAATATATGGGCAATTTGCGTACCCTGTTCTGCAAGGCTAGTCTCAATGCGATGCTAATGATCCTGGATTTCCTTCCAGCAAGCCTCCTGACGTTGCTCAAAGGCGGTCCACCGCTGCTCTTAAAGCTGGAAGCGTGAATCAAACGATGTCCGGAGATCACCAAAAGCAGTGGTTAGCTCCTCAAATGTATTAGGCAATGGACGTGGAACAGCAGAGGAAGAGGCTCCATCTGCGGGCATGCTCGCCGGCATGTATGAAGGACTGCCCGTGCCCGTGTCCTGATCTGGCTCGTATCTAGTGTCGCGTGGCCTCTTTCTGAATCCCATGTGGATGAGAGACTCAGAAGTGATAGGCCGTACACTAGACTCCTCGGGGAGAAGGTCTGGGATGACGATGGTAGGCACGAGGGCGCGCGCTAACAGAGTGATAATGGGTCCAGCCTGTATGTGATGGCGGTTTCCAGTCGACTGATCAAACAGGAAACGCCCAACAAAAGAGGAAAGGTCCACAGGTGTGTGGCTCTCCAGGCTCCAAACGAAGATCAGATCAGTGTCATAAACTCTGTTGGCGTTTTTATGACGCCCAAAGTAGCTGCAGCAGAGGAGGTGACTAAGTATCCTCCACGCGGGACTCCTCCAATCGGATGATGAGCTGTATTTGTTGCTGAAGTCTCTAGTGCTACGTGAATGAGTCCTCCAAAATGCCTTGACGTCAACATCCAAAGGAAGTCGACGTGGCAGGGCAAGAAAGTGCGGTGAGCTCGTCTCCTCAAGAGTATATATCCCCAGCAGGCGTCCTAGATCAAGAACGGGAATATCAAATCTCGTCCCACGAAGCGTGAACGTCATCCGTACTGAGGGATGGACTCCCTCCACATCTCGAACTCTGCTCCCATAAACGTCGAACCTCAACGAGTAGATGAACTCCATCGTTAGTGGCACGCTAGCTTATGCACGGAGTGAAAGCAAGCGCCTCCATTTGGGGTCATGGAGGAAGTCATCAACCTCCTCCCAATACCCCATGCTCTCCAGCGCTGCATGGTCCAATATCATCGGCGGCGTCAATACCTTCTTGCTACCCCAATCCCGATATCGATCGCGCGCCTCAGGGGTAGCAAAAGGTCAGTCTAGTCCATTAGCAGGGTAATCAGCCATCTGCACAAAATTAAACAAACATGTTAAACTTGCCCCCAAAATCTGGTGCGACAAGTACTCTTTTTTTTCTTTTCTCAAAATAAGTGTGTTAAAAATGGTAACCAGACTGATTCAGAATATTCGGGATCGGGCAGAATGCTGCCAATTAGGTGCTCTTAGGCTTACCCGAATAAACCTTTCTACAGAATGACCCAGTAGGAATGGTGGGACAAGTTCAGCTCCCGAAGGCGTCACCTGAAAATAGACTCCCCTCGTAATTGAAAAAGTAAATTCTTTTTCATAAAAGATCTTATATATGCTAGTTGGGGATCGTCCTCACTTTCATCGTTTTGCTGGTTCTCAGTTGGACTGTTTAATGTGCGCATCGTGGTATTTCTTAACGCGCTCCTTGTATAGCAGATTGTTGTGGAAAGCTAGCGTTCTCCACTCATCTAACTCATCCAACTGGTAGAATCTCTCCCTTCCTGCTGC